TCAAAAATGCGCTCCACTTATTACGAACTTTTAAAAACTGCAAAGAAAAATAGATAAATAAATAAATAAAAATTAAAAAATTGGAAAAATAGAAATGAAATGAAAGTAACAAAAAAAAAGACTATTTTCTTCGCTCCACGTAATAAAACTATTGAAAAGACGAGTTAACGATAAAAAATTTTTTAATTTCCTTTTGCCGTCCATTACAAATTTCCAACACACTAACTGCTGCTTTAGAAGGCAATGGAAAAGAAGGATAAATTTTACGATGAAAACTACAGTTGTTTTTAATATCCGAATCACTGAAACAAAGTTGTCAGTTCCACCAATTCTATACAAATTTGGTTCACTGACCTTTTAATTTTCCTTAAAAATTTCCTCATTCACACCTCCGTCTCCTGTCGCCAATTCCTCTTTCTGTTTCCGCTTCCTCGAGACCGTTTTCTAAACAGCAGTACCGTGTATAGAAGAACATGACGTCCATCTAACACTGAAATCTCACAACGAATTGGTATTTTTCGTGATATCAAAAGAATCACATGAAGCCAGGTAGCACTACAAAGTTTTTTCAAATTTCAATGTTTCTCGATACCCTGCGATGTACAACAACTACCGATAGAAACAAACTTATGCAACCTATACCGTTGATACAGTCTTCGACCGATATATATGAGTATTATAAATTTTTAGTGAATATGTAAACAATGCTGTTTTTCAAAAACTGACAAAATTCAAGACTTAAATATCATCTTTATTTGTTTACTTTTCACTGTACAAAAAAACTGTTCTCGAAATGAACAACAAAATAACAACAGTATTTTAAGGCAAAAACTACACTGAAAAATTGCAAGTAAATATTGAACAATCAATGTCACTAAGAAGCTAAAAAATTTTTGGCAAATGCTGAATAAACCTATTTTGTTAAATCTGATAAGAGCTGTAAATAAAATAAGTTAAAAGAGGAATACAAAAAAACAAAAAATTAGAGAAAAGTTACTTATGATTTTTTATTTTATTCTTTTTTGTTTGTTCCTTCATATTTCCAGTTTTTACAGTTCATTTGTGCTCAATTATCGACTAATATACTGTTCTTTAAAATTATCAATCATTTTCTAGAAGAAAAAAAAAATACCTTACAGCCCTTGAAGTAACAGAATTACACGTTTTCTGTCTATACAGTGACAACAAAATTTCCACTGTTTAAATGTAATCAGAGCAAAAAAAAAAAAGTGTCCATCAACTTTTCCTTTCTAAGTCAACCACAGCAAATAGTGTTTCTGTAAAATCGAAGAAAAAAAAAACGATGTTCATACTATATACATACATACATATATATATATGCTGGAAAACTGGAAAATAATTGAATGACAAATCTATTTTTTTTTTCCTCAATAATTTAGGGCACTATTCCTATGATAATATTATTTAAATTAACTGTTAATAACCAAACTTTCTATTCAGACCATTTACTTAATGCACACAAAATCAACTTACAAAGGCTTTATTAAATAAAACAGAAAATAAACATTTCTTTCTGCCTGTTTTTTTTTTTTTTTTTTTTTTTT